TCTGGTCGCAAACGCACTATGTTGGTTTTGTCGTGACGCGGCTCATTTTTTTATCAACCTCATATGCTCGAATACTTTCAAAGTTTAATATCTGCATTAAAGATATAAGGTCATCTTACAATTGATATTTTCTGCCATCATGAAAAGACGCCAAAGTTATTTTCTATGATATATCCAAAACATTTTACCATTAAATTGACTGATAGTCTGAAGTAGAGTTAAGGAAAGATCAGACACTTTATCAGTGTTTGTCGATGTATTGTTTATTATTGTGGTGTCTGCAGATGTTGTTGTGTTTGACAGGTTTTCTGGTCAACAATGTCATCAATACATCGACCATTGATGTTAGGAAGCCTCGTAAGTCTACCCTGAAATGTTCTCAATTAGTCTCTGTCTGAACAATGATAGCATTTTATATATTCATATTAGATGTTTGTTATCTTACTGTGTGGCTTAGACTGACGTGAGACAATATCGGCCAGGAGCAAATATTATAATATTGATTGATATTCTATAGCCTTTTATTTATCGATTTATTTAAGTATGGGTATAGCTTTTGTGTTTTCTAAGCTTTGTATCCAAGATGTTCGGTTTTTTTCAATCTTTTTCACCTTTAATACTAGTCTCAGCCAGATTGTGGTGACTACCAGCATACAGTTTGGTCTTTCACGAACAAATTCACTGGCTTGGTTTTACTTTCTTTACATTTATCAAACATGGTTGTATCAAATGGTACATTTTCCGTTGCTTTTATTAATTATCAACTTCATTAAAAGGGACAAGATGTTACATTAATGATTTCCGAATATCTATCTTTATTTAATATTGTTACATCATATCAATGTGTGAAAATGTCTCCATTTGTTTTTCTATGTAAAACGTAAAATTCAATTTAATATTTTTAATTGCATATCCAAGTGTATCGGTGTTAATCAACAACACACACTAAGTTGTTTAGTTGTGCTGCTAAAGCAACATACTTCCGCCACTAGCATTTATCCTTTGATAGTGAAATTGAAACAATAATTTTGTAGTATAGATAACGAATATAGTATGCATTTGTCAACACTCAAAATACAAAGTAGAAGTGTTAATTCAATTTAAATCCATCAAGTTACGGAACTTTTAACACATATCTGTATCAAAATCAAACTTATTGATTGAAAAAATTTGTATCAAAATATAAATCAGAAATACGTTTTCATTTACTTAATCAAAGCTGACAAGCTGGTTGAATTTAAATGATAACACGAACGTTATCCTTGGATATTATTGAATGTAATATTAAGCGCATTACATCGATTGTCCCGTTGTTGAGAAAGAAAGATTGTCATGTATATCAAATACGGTTTAATTCACATTCAACAATCTGTCAGCATTCATGAACAATAAAGTTCTTTTTATATTATCTCCGTTTTCTAGATAGACCATAATATACAGTCTGGAGTGATATACATAGATTTATTGACTTGCTAACTGCAAGATCTTTTGCAGATTTGAAATGTAAGAAAGCATTGTATAAATGTCTGTAGGGGCGAGTTTATTGATTAAAGTTGTCTAGCAATTAAGTCTTAATGTTCAGTGTAATCACAACAATCTGCCGAGAAGTTAATGAATTATGAGGATAAGACCTATATCACACCGCTAATTATCTTATTAATAGTATCATATAAATTGTTAGTTTCTGAGGCTATTTAGCAATATAACACATTATGCATATATCAATTAACATAGAATCTCATCATACAGGTATTTCATAAAATTTGTGTTTTAGCACATGTGTAAACATATTCTGTAAAATATTCTGTAAATTGAGATAAAAATGTAATATTTACAATATTATTTTTAAGTCAATGTGAAAGGTAACAGTTGCCTAAGGGTAATGTGTTTCAATATTTGACGTTTCTGGAAGTAAACTTGAAAGTCCTTATTATTTAACAGTTATATAGATATTGTGAACTAATAAAGACTTTTTTCTCAAGGTTGTTTACAAAACGTATATAACAATTAATATACTATCTACCATAAAAAGTCATGTCTGTGCTGATTTAGTAAATAATTTATTGATAACTTAAGTTAATCATTCATCAGATTTACCGAGTGTAAGGGGACGCTGGTGGTATCATCATCTGACTGATCAATTACTATGGGCATATGTAGTGCCTGTCTTACAGTAGACTCGCTGATTGCAAAGTGACGTGGGTGGCATCATACAACAGGTTCACTTGGTGCTAATAGAACATTTAGGTATACAATGCAGAAAGTTCAATTAGTGTTAGGGGACGTGGGTGATATCATGCGGAGAGTTCATTAAATGTAAGGGTGGTGAGTTCATATAGCAGGTTCACTAAGTGTTAGTGAAAGTGGGTGATATCATATAGCAGGGTCACTTAGTGTTAGTGAAAGTGGGTGATATCATATAGCAGGTTCACTAAGTGTTAGTGAAAGTGGGTGATATCATATAGCAGGTTCACTACGTGTTAGTGAAAGTGGGTGATATCATATAGCAGGGTCACTTAGTGTTAGTGAAAAAGTGGGATATCATATAGCAGGTGCACTAAGTGTTAGTGAAAGTGGGTGATATCATATAGCAGGTTCACTAAGTGTTAGTGAAAGTGGGTGATATCACATAGCAGGGTCACTTAGTGTTAGTGAAAGTGGGTGATATCATATAGCAGGGTCACTAAGTGTTAGTGAAAGTGGGTGATATCATATAGCAGGTTCACTAAGTGTAAGTGAAAGTGGGTGATATCATATAGCAGGGTCACTTAGTGTTAGTGAAAGTGGGTGATATCATATAGCAGGTTCACTTAGTGTTAGTGAAAGTGGGTGATATCATATAGCAGGTTCACTAAGTGTTAGTGAAAGTGGGTGATATCATATAGCAGGGTCACTTAGTGTTAGTGAAAGTGGGTGATATCATATAGCAGGGTCACTAAGTGTTAGTGAAAGTGGGTGATATCACATAGCAGGTTCACTAAGTGTTAGTGAAAGTGGGTGATATCATATAGCAGGGTCACTTAGTGTTAGTGAAAGTGGGTGATATCATATAGCAGCTTCACTTAGTGTTAGTGAAAGTGGGTGAGATCACATAGCAGGTTCACTAAGTGTTAGTGAAAGTGGGTGATATCATATAGCAGGGTCACTTAGTGTTAGTGAAAGTGGGTGATATCATATAGCAGCGTCACTAAGTGTTAGTGAAAGTGGGTGGTATCACATAGCAGGTTCACTAAGTGTTAGTGAAAGTGGGTGATATCATATAGCAGGGTCACTTAGTGTTAGTGAAAGTCGGTGATATCATATAGCAGGGTCACTTAGTGTTAGTGAAAGTGGGTGATATCATAAAGCAGGTTCACTTGGTGTTAGTGAGCGTGGGTGAGATCATATAGCAGGTCCACTAAGTATAAGGGAACGTGGTGAAATAATACAATTTCACCGTTGTCTAAGAACATAAGCTAAATAAGTTCAGAATTAATTTTCATAGTTTGGCAATCATTAGGATTAGGATTTCTATTTTAATATTTTACTGTTGTTTTTATCACATATAAATTATTTGTTATTATCAACGCAATTAGTTTAAATTAATCAACGTATTTTACTTTTTTTGTTAACTTCCATTAAATTGTCAATCATGCACTGAATGTAACTATACAAAAGTTGCACAAACCATTGAATCAATTAAAGCTGTAACCTCTGGCCGAGACAACATATATGACTTCATTTGATAAAATACGCTGCTTTGATGTATGCCGTATTGATTATTCAATCTATTTCCTTTATTTCATACAAAACTGAAGTGCAATAAAAAGCTATTTAATTGCAGAAGAGGTCCCTGATGTATTGGCATTAAGTAATAACTTTTTGAGGACAAATCAATTCTTTTTTTCATCATACTTTCAAACTAATGAAAAAAACACGTGTTAAATTTAAACAACATCTAATGTAGGGATCCAATACAATTCATTTTAACTTGGGCGTACATAACTTTACACAACACAGCAATGAGTTTTGTTAAGAAAATTATATAGAAAAGTAGTATACTTTCATATATCTACTGAAATGTAATTCCGAATTATTAAAAATTACAATGGTATGTATATTTTAACATAACCAGAATAAATAGCACTGCTGACTTAAGAGCAACTCAAACTTTTTGAACGTGAAATAAGTGCTGTTATCGACTACACGAAATAATGGTAGATTTAGAAATGAAATCAGTTATATACATGTATTATGTTTGCAATTATATGAAAAAGTTTATATCACAGCTGCTGAGAGACCGGAAGTCACGTGATACTGGTTTGTTTGACATCTTACGTCTTCATAATTAAGGAGCACCTTAACATTGATTGCTGAACTTTATACAGACTTTTTCTGCAAATTTATGCATATTTCAATAAATAAAATGATTTAATTTTGCTAGGAATTGTTTGCTTTTCTTTATAAGTGCCTTTAATGAACTATACCGTTTGCCCCATTTTCAGCCCTCGGCACGCTGTTTTTAGTGCATGTAGAAAAAGAAAGAATTCCCAATGAAAGGTGTAGACAAAATGGGTTCCATACTATCTATACAACTAATTTGCACAAATATATCCTTATGTCATATGATATGGAAGAAATATTCAACAAATTGCCATACAGTTTAAGAATAAACTGGCTTCATGTGACACTGGGGGGGGGGGGGGGGCACAAAATATATCAGATATGTTCCTGCCAGACACTAATATATGCTATTTTTTCAGTCCTACACAGTAGAAAATCTATTTGGCATGCACAATGTTCATATAGGTTTATGTGTAAAGTCAAAAACAAAGAGACAAAGCATTTGTCAGGGCCTTCACAGCATTATAGACATCACAATGTGGGTCTCCTAGGGAATCGAAATTCACCAAGTGACAGTGCAAAAACCAAATTTTCCGACTAGTCGATCTTGCTCGCTCAGCTTTAAAATGGTCACAATCTCACCAGAAAACCTAGATTATATATCCACTTGTCCTTAAAAAGTGATTTCCAGCAAAAATTTACCTCCATACAATGATTTTGCATCACTCGAAACACTTCGGATGGCCATATTTCACACATACAGCTGAAATTCATTAAATGCATGCCTTTTTCCTAATTTAAAAGTCATAAAAAGCAGGAAAACAACATCTAATTTAACCTTCATAGCTCTATATGTGAAAATTAGCATTCTTCTAAAGCTGTATCTCCTAGAATAAGAAGGTGTAATCAACACAGCAGACACAGCACCTTTAATACATTTCACAAAGAATTTCTGGAATTTGAGTTACCTCCCCTTTTTAAAGCTGACTTTCTGGCACTGTGTTTAATATTATTATGAAATTTCATCATCATTGTAGTCAGTGTGTATTCTAAAGTATTTACACGAAGTTTAATGAGAAAAAACAAGCATTGAAAAAATTTCATTTTACCTTAAGGTAGCACTCCACACTAAATTTCAAGTTTCTGCCGTCAATGTCCTACAAGCAATATGTCTGATAAATCTGATCCCAAACTACACAACCTGGAAAAAGAAAACACATTTTGTTAAGAACATATATGTCATACCATTGCAAATCTGTAATGAAATCATCCCATATGCAACAGTCAGGCAGTTAAAAAAATTCCAATTTATTCCGTAAAAGCCAAAAATATATAGTGGTCCGAGACCCCAAATAACATTTTTCGTCCCTTCAGCAAAAATTACCTGCAAATATACGGTCTACAAAAACTCTGTCACTACTTTAGCAACTCCCTATGCATGCAAAATATCACAAAGAAATAGGTGCTTGGCCTTGTAGATTTTTTGCTATTGCTGAAAGTTTGTACCCCCCTGTAAAATTACTTGTTTTCACCGAGCATGCTGTTTAAAAGCAATGTTTACAAACAATGGCGACCTTGACATCAATAATAATCAGCATGTGATTTCTAACCATGTTTTCGAATTTGCCAATGATCATATTACATGTCACAAAAACAAATTTCATGCTGAAATGCATTTTAAAGACAACCAGTCATTTAAATCCACAATAGTCACTATTTCCATGAAATCCTCCCTGGCCATTCGAAGCTGCGGCTTCATTTAGTGTGGTGTGCTGCCTAAGAATGTTGAAACAATAAACATGGCAGCACGTGAACGATATCGAATGTTGCTGTGGTTTTACCCAACAAGATATCACTCTTTAGAGAAAATGGAAATGAGTATACAAATTCAGGAATAAAATTGACAAATAGTTCTACATTTGTATTTGCGTGTATCCAGCTAACCTAACAATTATCTTTTTCCTTTAACTCAGTAAAATCGAAATACTTTACATAAACATGCAATATTTCTGATTAACAACTGAGTACTTATTTATTATCAGTACAATAATTCATCATATTTTGACAGATATTTATACACTCTCAAAATACAATTTACTTGTTGTTTCATGAAATGATTAATTAATGTTTATATTTGTAACAATTACACGTTTTAAATGATGTAACATATATCATATTTATGAGCAGTGGAAAGGTTCTAATAATGAAAACAAACCTATTCAATTAAATCAAGTATTATTTGAAATATTCGATTGTTGATATCAATTTAGTATGACACTTAACTTTATACATTTGTATCATATTTATTAATGTATTAGATATGCTTCGGTTAGATAAAATAAACAAGAAAGCTATAGTCTTGATGTTGCATTAGTATACATGTAGTAACTCTTTTATCTATTTGTCTTATTTTCTCTCCACGTCATTACGTGTGACCAAGATATTGAGTTCGCATTTATTTAGCGGAATAACAGGAACGAATAACAAGTTTTATCTACTAAAGGTCTAGACTTAGTTATATCAAATTTTCTTTCGTTGAGAGAAACGTCCTCCTAATTTATATTGTCTACCAAACAAGTTGCTTATCTTTCAACAATCGGAGAAAGCAAGAAAGAACTTCTTTGTTTTGTTTGAACATTTTGAACAAGATTATTTAACCCTGAAACGAAATATTTTAAGTTAAACGAATGTCATGTTCAAATTCATTGTTAAGATTTGTAACAATTCGGGAGTTCGCGGGAAAATTAGTCTGTGTTTCAAACATTTTGTGCAGAAAATTCATAATGTTAAATGTTAGGTACGTATCTTAGATTTTTGGAAAAGAAAGCTCTCTAAAATATGTTGAAAATGTGAGTATTTAGTAATTTGAAATGGTAGCGATTGTCGTTTTCTGAAATAAACAGTTTTTTTCTGCAGTTTTCAGCAAAGTCTGTAAATTAAGCTTGTTTCCTTGTCTGTACTACCTAAATTTTGTCTTGTTTGACCTAATTAAGTTAAGATTCTAGTTTATATCTGGGTCTGTTTGATTAATTCCGTCATTAGTATTTGATCTGTCCCTACTCATTCTGATCATCTTCTTTAACAACGAAAGAAAGAAACTTCGTGCAGTTTCAACACTATTTTATATAAGTAAGATACAAACAAGTGATGTGTCTATCCATATGAACACATGATTCTTATTATATGTTCGATGTATTTGTTGAATTCGTTTTAAGCATTGCCATGGATGGAGGTAACTTAAGGTAAATTTATGCCGTCCGCAAACATATTTAAGTTTAGGTGTTTTTTTAATTAATAATTTTGGCTGTGCTAGTATGTTTTCTCGAGTCATTGGTCGATTTCTTTAAATGATTTATTTGTAGGCATATATGATAAAAATTTGTGTAGCTTTGGACCCCTTTTTCGCAAGTTTCCCTTACTGTTAAAACCAGAAAAGATTATGTAAAAAACTGAAAATAAAGTGTGGTTATAAAAACATACTGGTAACAATGCTGATAGAAACTGATGTGTATTTAAGCAATGGTAAATATTTACCGTGTGGATAATACTGCAAACGGCTACAGGAAACATATTATTCAATAAATGTTTGTGTGCATGTCGCCTATTACAAGAGCGATATAGTAAAACCATGTGATAAATAAGTAATGAGAAATTTGGTGATTTAATCAGATTGCATTTATTGATCAAAAATGTAAATGGCAATTTTCACGTAAAACAATCCGTGAACATTAAAGGTAAATCGATTCAGGGCCTGTAATCGGTGCTTTTGTATCGAACGCTTGAAATCTTTGATAACCAAGAAATGTGCTCATTGACTGAGGTACTTGAACATTCCTGAGAAGATTTCTATAAGCTATCAACTAGACATATTAATCGCAACAGTTCCCCCCATACAACGAGTTAAGTAGTCTACAATATCACATTGATCTGCCAGGTCCTGTTAGAAAAAAGTAGCAAACATTATAAAGCACTTTGGACAGCAAAGGACCACTAATAAGGTGACACACAAAAAAGATTTAATAACAAAATACGATGTAGTCGTGATAAAAGACCATAAATTGCCTCTGGTTTTATAAAATCCTTGGAATGTTCATGATTTTAAAACTGTCAAAGTGGTTCGGTCAGCAGACATTTACTGTAAGAAACATTTTAGTCGGATGATGTACCTAGTTGCCGCACACAGGTCTTAAAGTAGGAGGTACTTAACCAAAAAAAATGTTGTTATTATTACCATCAAAATAATACAAATATATCACATGAGTATATGTTTGTTATTATATTATATTTCTACTATGACAGTTATTTTCCAACTGATTATAAATATTTATAAATAATTCTACAATCTTAGACAAGTTTAGTCGGTCCATTTCTAATATTTTGCAAACATTGAATATCGAGAAATTTAATATAATTTTTCGGAGAAAAATAAACTCAAATAAAAATTTACATTTGTAATACATATAATACAAGATAACATTATAAATATAGTTATATACACAAAATTCAAACATTTATTATATTGTAAATAATCGTAAAGATAAAGGAGTTTAAAATGTACTGTTTGATAGAATGAAATTGTTGAATAATATCAGTATCACAGTTCAGCCGAACTTTATTATCTTATTTTTATAAGATGTGTCAGTAATGATAGAGTTGTCTAAGATTGTCTCCGTCTTTTGTACCTTATCACAAACGCTGAAAATAGATTGCGCTGTTCCAATACTGGTCTTGCAGGAGACAAGATAAACTATATTACCGTTAACAAATATGTTAAACCAATAGCCAGACAGACTTCAAACACTAACATAATGTTGACAGAGTCATTAAAACAGTGCCTTCACAAATTCCAGACATTACTAATAATGAAAGTCGGTTGTGTTCCAAGTGTAATATATATTTAGTACTGCAAAAAAAGAAGTATTTCGGTCACTTTATTGTTTTTGGATTATAAATTGCAGTATTACGATTTAATTTAACGACGAAGCCATTAGTATCTTTATGCCAGAAATAGAATACAAAGAAATGAACGGTATTGTCAATGTTGTTCTTTAAGAGACTTAGAAGATGAATTTCATTTTGTTCTTATATGTCCATGTTATACAAGTATTCGTACCCTTTATATTAAAAGATATTATTTTGTTAACCCAAGTATGTACAAATTTATTGCATTGCTGCAAAGTAATAATAGAAATGAGCTATGTAAATTAGCACTATATTACAAAAATGCTATGACTGTTAGAACTACAGTGTTAAATAATGTTCAATGATAGTTTATAAAATTTAGTTTATTAAAAATAAAGTTTAATGATAGATTAAAAATTAGTTTTTGATATTGATTTTTCTTCTTAAATATGTTCATCCTCACTTAACTGAGGCTTAATAACAAATATCTGAACAATGACAATTGTTACAATTACAATTTACAATTATTAATCTCTTTATATTATTTATTTTATTAATTTCTTTATATTGATTGCACTGAAAATTACATGCTACTCAAATATTATTATGTTATGTATATGATGATGTACTATGTACAAATCAGAAATAAAAGATCTGTTCTGTTCTGTTTAATCTTTCTTTCAATCTGATCATCTTATACTGTAATGATTTTGTTCCAACATGCTATTATTTTAATAATTTATATTAACAAAAAGATCCGTCAAGCACTGAAATTAATTCACTGTATATGTTTTCAAGTTTAAAAGTCATTTTTATGATGGAAACCAGTTAATATAAATCTATTAAAATTGGTATAAATACTACAGAATAATTCTAATTCAGAAACAAATTCTTGAATTTTAAAAATAAAATGAATGTAGAAATTATAGTTCCTGTATAGTTCCTGTCATTTTACAAGACTTGTTTCTTTATCTCGTAGTGGATTGGAAAAAAACTGGTAAAATATATAATGCATCGGTCAAATGTAAATGAGATGGAAATACTACTGAGTTTATTATTTGCGTCACTTTGTTTAAAGTCTCAACAAGTCTATCCCTTCGTGCGCATTGTATGGAAAGTCAAACGCTCCCGGGAAACAATAATAGTATCTCTGATAGAAAAAAGAAAAGGAATGAGAGAAATCATTTTATTTCATCAGACAAAAGTTATTGATTATATATTTAAATTGAAATTCCTCACGCATATAAAGCCCAACTGTTTACAAATCAATGAAAGAAAATCCTGACTGTACTTAAGTATTGAACAGTAAAGTATTCCACGCATAGAATATGTCTTTCCTTAATCTATTTCAATATATTTTAATATTTCTCAACAAGTTGTTATAAAGTACATGTTTTAACGGTATGTTCTGCTCGTTGGTATTTCCCTAAAAGTTCACCATAGATATAAGAAAGTAACAAAGTTGTAACCAATTATTGATTTATGAACTAATCTTTTCTTTCTTGATCTTAAGAATATTGAAACAGATATCATATTAATTGGTAAAAAAGTTTACCCGTAAAAACAGAAAGCAGTTCAACATTTCAAGCCCATTTTCTACGCTATCATGTCTGCTTTAACAATGCCTTATATCCTCTGCATATGCATCAACCGACCCAAGTAATGGCCAAAAACTCTTTTGATGATTTTTAAGAAAA